TTTCCAGAGCTGGAACTTCCCAAATAATGTGAATTTAGGGGCGCCTGGGTGGCTCACTTGTTAAGCGTCTGCCTTCGGCTCCTGGGCTCGAGCCCCGCATCAGGCTCCCTGATCCGCAGGAAGCCTGCTTCTCCCTCTCCCATTCCCCCTGCTTCTGTTCCCTCTCTGTCAAATAAATAAATAAAATCTTTGGGGTGCCTGGGTGGTTCAGTCGTTAAGCATCTGCCTTCGGCTTAGGTCATGATCCCGGGGTCCTGGGATCGAGCCCCGCATCAGGCTCCCTGCTCCGCGGGAAGCCCACTTCTCCCTCTCCCACTCCCCCTGCTTGTGTTCCCTCTCTCGCTGTGTTTCTGTCAAATAAATAAATAAAATCTTTAAATAAATAAATAAATAAAATCTTAAAAAAAAATTATGTGCCTTTAACGCATTACAGGTCTGCCATACATCCCATCAGTACTGGATGGCTAGGCAGGGCTTAAGGTGGCTAGAGCCCAAGGGCCAGTCATCTCAGCTTGCAAGCACTATGTCTTTCTCACTATTACCATTCTCTGTGTATGCCATGATGACAAAAGGTTGGGGAAGTACTTCACTAAATTATGAGTCCCTTGTCAGCAGGGACCATGACTTATTCATGTTTCATGTCTCCAGCACCATGACTAGTCTGTAGCTAGTGACTAACATGCTTGCTTTTGAGGAGTATGGTTCTACTGATGGTGATAAAACATTTCTGAGGTTGAGGAAGACAGTATTCTAGAGGTGATCCCTGATCCTTTTCCTGTATCTGACAAACTCGAGAAATGGTTGCTATGTTCTCAGAGCCCTAGCCCTAGGGTTCCCTGGATGGGCTTCACAGGCTTGGGGGTATGGGGAGAACTATATGAGAGGCTCTAATTATGCTCCTCCCCTCTACCCCACCAGTAGAGCAGCTCCATTTTTATCCATGTAATGTATTAGACTTCAAATAAGATTTTATAGAAGGTAACGTTTAATTCCTTTTAACAGAAGAGGAAGAGGGGGCCAAAAACCACTGCAACAGAGAGCAAATGTTCTCCTGCATCCTAAATCATGCTGAAGTTTAAACATCCATGCCTGGGGCGCCTGGGTGGCTCAGTCTTCGGCTCAGGTCATGTTCCCAGGGTCCTGGGATCGAGCCCCGCATGGGGCTCCCTGCTCCACAGGAAGCCTGCTTCTCCCTCTCCCACTGCCCCCCTTGCGTTCCCGCTCTCGCTGTGTCTCTGTCAAATAAATAAATGAAATCTTAATAAAATAAAATAAAGAACATCCATGCCTGATGCTCTAGTGTAAAAGCTCATAAAGGAAGGGTTACACCAGGCTCTCCTCAGTAATGGAAGAGCTAACGGGTACAATGAGATCTGGTCCACCCAGTCATCTCGCCTTTCTTCAGGAATATGGTGATAATGGTGGATCCATGAATGCCCAAGCCATGTCCCTTCGGGTCCATACGGCACAGCAGATCCTTTGTAGAAGTCCAATACAAAGCTCTAAAACGTTCATGGAATCCCTACCTCAGTCAGTTCTTTCCCAGACTATAATGCAAGCCTTCAGACATTTGTGGAACTTCCAAATGCTCCCCATGTTTTTTCATTATCAAAAAGCTTTACTAGCATTCTACCTATATTTGCAACAGATGTTGAAAAGGTATAGCAGATAGAATTATATATACTGATATTACAACTCTGGACCTTAATACAGTACATTCTGAAACATACTCAGAGGGAGACATTTAAAGGAGATATGACTAAATGAAGAGTGGCCCAGGAAATGGAGGATGCTGAAATACTAATTGAGACCTAAAATAAAGGGGCCCAGGAATCTAAATCCCTGACCTAGGTCATTTAGAGTGCTCTTGTATGAAAGAGTCAACCATTGCTTCAATCATGCTGACTTTTCTAACATGAACACTATTCTTGAGCCCCCACGTCCTCACCGTGCATCCAAGTTGATGGTTCAGGGCCCCTGCCTTGCTCCAGCTTCACCTCCCACTCAGGCAGCAGGAGCCGCCTCTGTGAGGCTGATGCTGAAAAAAGATTTCATTGCTCATAAGCCTACGACCAGCAAAGAAAGTCATGGTAACAATCATCCCTCTACACAGGCGGCAAGTTATTCTTTTGTCAACCTCCTGTCCTTTAAGGGAGCCCTGAGTGCTCATATTACCATTGCTATTATGACGATGATTATTAATAGCAACTAACATTTATTTGGGGCTAACTATGTGCTTTGTAAGGTACTAAGTATTTTACATATATCATCTCATTTAATTCTCATGCCAATAATATGAAGTAGGTACTATCATTATCATGTTCTTTACTGATGAGAAAAATGAAGCTAAAGGAGGACAAGGTTTTCACCAAAATCATAAAACTAGTTATTAGCAGAGGCAGGATTTGAACCCAATTTTGTCTGATTCCAAGGTCCACACTCTAAATAACCATACCATATTGCCTCTAAATTGACCCGCAACAAAAATGAAGAGAGCCAAAAACGGTGATATGCTTTGAGTCTCGGGCCGCTTGGCATGCATTTCTCAAGGTGTATGGGGAAGCAGATTCCACAATTTCCCTGTTATTTACTCAGCTTTAACAAACCTGGTTTTAAAGAAGTTCCTCCTTCGAAGCAACAAATCCCACCCACTATCCTCTGAGTCCATTTCCTCTTATTATGACTCCAGTGGAAAGAGAGTAGCAGAAATGAACACACACAATATGATCCTCTGTGCACTTGAGACTTCACTTCCACTCTTTCCAGCCCGCTGTCACCCCTCCTTTATACTTGCATTCAGTTTAATAATAGCAGCTACCATTCACTGGCACCAATGCTGTGCCAGGCACCACATACATACATTGGCTCTCTCCTCTGTAATCTCCAGAATTCCAATTTTGACAATACTCTGAAGGACTTGACATCTTTGCCCACAATGCGGAAGCAGGAGATCTGGGCTTTCGGATAAATAATGACTTTGTGTTCTAGTAATATTTTTCTTTTTTGGGTCTTAGTTTCCATTATCCATGCCTGTTTTGTGCCTCTTAGGAAGGTGGAGAGGCCAAGACTTCGTAATTACAATGCCCAAGGGCCTTTGTACCCTCACTCAGCTATCTCCAGGCACTCTCTCTGACAGTCAAGCCATCTCCTTCTCTTTCCTTAAACTGTAGTCAGAAAGCTTGTTGAGTTCTACCCATTAACATCCTGTATTCATCCCAAGAGCCTACTGTTTGCATAAGGCACTATGGGAGACACAACAGGAAATCCAATCCCTGCAATCAAAATGTTTCATCTCTTTGGAAAAACAAGACTTACACATAAAATTTTTGATGATGCAAGGTAGTAATTCTATGCTGGGGGCGCCTGGGTGGCTCAATTGGTTAAGCGGCTGCCTTGGGCTCAGGTCATGATCCTAACTGAGCCCAGCATCAGACTCCCTGCTCAGCGGGGAACCTGCTTCTCCCTTTGCTTCTCCCCCTGTTCATGCTTTCTCTCTCTCTCTCTCAAAAAAAAAATAAAATCTTTGAAATAATAGTAATAATAATAATTTCTATGCTGGGAGGCGGGAAGCATATAAATATGTGATACACAGGGGGCCCTTCCCACCTAAATCCAAGGTCAATGATTCTGTGAACAGGTGACCTCTGTGGATCAGCTTCTTTCTTAAAATGAGCTTTTAGAGATGTGTTATTCAAACTCAGGTCTAATGTGCAATAACTAATTCACTGCTCCACTCCAGTCATATCAAGTGGAGACACTTACCCAAGAAGCTCAAGACAAAATGGCAGCAAAGATGGTCACTACCTAATTAAGGCCAGGGGAGAAAAGTATGCAGAGACTAGATTCTGTCCTGTTGCACTGACCCAAGCAATCAGACTCCTGCAGCATTCTTCTACCCATAAAACTTTCATGCCATAGACCAGGGGTGACCCAATCCAACAGCAGCGGAGGCAGGTTTTGAGTTACGCTTCTCCCTCAACCAGATGACCTCACTATTTCTTCTCACTCCTGACCACATACCACACTCCTCCTGGCCTGGCCAGAGGGAGACCGGCAGTAATACAACCCAGAAAAAAGGGAACTCCCCCAAAAGAGGAGCTACCACTTTGCTGTGCAAGTGGCCGGGGTTAAATGGGAACTCCACCTCCCCCTCCTTCCCTCAAACATTGGTGTAAGCAATGGCTCCATTTTCTGTTCCGGGAATCCTGGTACTTCCTAAAGAAAGAAAGCGGATTGGAAGACACAAACTCAGAGCCAGCGACAAGCTGCTCCCTCCTCCTGTGAGACCGCCCCCGCTTTGCCTGGGGGAGGAAGGCACCACCTCTCCTCTCCAAGCAAGATCTGATCCCCCCCCACCCTCTTCTGCCTCTTCTCCTCCCGCTCCCCACCTGCTGCCCTCGTCCCAACGTGTGGTTCCCAAGACCCAAAGCGCAACCTCTACCGGAATAGTGCCCCTGGGGGTGCCTCACTAGCTTGCCTGGCGGTCTGATCCCTAAACCCCCTACGAACCCCTGCCCCATTAAGGGAGTACAGGGTGTCACCTCTACAAGGCTCTGGTCTCCTAGTACTAAGGTGGAGCAGGAGAGAGGGTAGGAAAAAAGCGGCATTCCCTAGCCCTTTAACAGGAAAAGGATACAAAACAGTCATCACCGCCCCCGCATCACCTCTCTCTGGACTGTTTCCCTCCACCTCAACCCCAACCCCTCGTAAGCCCACCTCCTGCAGGCGAGGGGAACCTAACTGCAGCCCGGGTCGCCCCCGCGTGCGAGGCAGAGCACAAATTCGTGAGCGCCCCCCACCCCCACCCCAGCTCCGCGTCCTTCAAACGTGGGGGAAGGCGAGAGACTGGCCTGGCGCCCCCTCCCCGAGCTCTCGGGTGGGAAGGACCACACCGCTCCAAGCCCGGCAGTGCCGGGGGGGGGCGGGGGGGGTCTATCTCCTCATCCCCCACCCCAAGCCTCTCCTCTACCGGGACCCGCCTTCCTTCCCCAGCCCCTCACCTGTTCCTGCTCCCAGCTCCTCCGCCGCCGCAGCAGCCGCCGCCGCCGCCCCCACAGGTTCCGCTCGGCACTGGTTCCGCTCCCTCCGACTCCCCCAAGCCGATTTCGACAAGGCTGCTCCCCTGGCCCCGCTCCCCAGCTCCCTCCTTCCTCTCCTCCACCTAGCACCGGAAGCCGCGACGGCGACAGGAGCTGTGCGGCGCACCCCCACCCCCAGACCGGGATACGTCCCACCTCCCCGATCGCGCGAGAACTGCGCGGTAGCGAGCGGCAGTTCTCGCGAGATCTATCACCATGGCAGCGGCTGCAGCAGAGGCAGCCGGGTGCTGGAGCTGAAGCCTGGGCGGGGGCCGATGTGGGGGCTGCAGGCTGCGGGCGGCGGAGGCGGGAGCCGGGAAGTGGGGATGAGGCAGTGGGCACTGAGGTGAGAATTCCAAGCTCCAGGGCCATGCCTGAAATTTAAGGACTGGAACTGCATGCTGGCCACGCTGGAAGGGGCTGGGCGGAGACGCAAAGCCAGGAGCAGGGTACGAGTGAAGAGCCCTTGCTGTGACCCACCCTATTCTTCCAGACCATACCTTTATTTCTTAACCACGGCTAGCTGCATCTCCCTGAGAGCCCTTGCTGCATCACTGTTGCTACTCACCCCTCCCAAGCTAAGACTAGGTTACTCAGGGGTCTGAATCAGGAGATCCTTTCCCATGGGGAAGAGGAGAGAGAGGTGATGAATTTAAGAGACAGAAGGAAAGAACTGGACTCTGGTACAGTTAGGAAGTTGGAAAGTGAAAGACAACCGTGGAAGCCTAATATTTAGAGGTGTGGTTTGAGGAAGTGTACCTAGATGACTATGAATTTTAGTATCCCAAGGAAAATGAGACTTTACACCCACGTTTCTCCTCCCCTGCCCACTCCCACTTCCCTTACACTCATTTCTTCATCTGATCTAGACATGCAGAGATGCCTTGGAACAGTCTCTGCTGTGATAGAAGGTCACTAGTAATACTAAGAACAGAAGGTTCTTAAAGTGGCCTCTCTCCTCAGTATAAGGGAACACATAGCTCTTCCTTAAGGCTTGAGCCAAAATTGGTGCTTTTCTGGATTTTTTGGGGAGGGGCCTTATTTCTTGTCTCTTTCAAGAAGAACCAGGTTGGTAGATAGCCATACTGTGTCTATCCCTTGTCCTCATCAATCCCTGATGTATATATTCACCACTCTCTTCCTCTTATCCCAGTCTGTTTTCTCTCTTATTCTAATGTGGAAAATAATATGACCCTAGAATGTGAAGCCGAGAGGACCCTAATTTAACATAGTGAGGGATGATCTGGATAACAAGGAGCATGTTTATAACAGAGTTGTATATGTCCTCGGCTGTTGCTCTTAAGGGCCTTTGCCCTGCTAAGCTCTGTGTTGTAAATGGCAGAAGACTTCTTCAGTTTTATTGCAGACTCTTGGATCAGGCCCTGTGATAGTTCCACATGACTACTCTTTCCATTTCTTTTCCTAAAATTTTCACCCCACCAAGTTATGCCCCCACACCAACCACCAAAATTATGCTTTGCACCTCCGCCCTTCACTAGTGCCCCAACCACACCAACATGCCTTTTGAGATTCTGACAGGAGATAGAAATTCAGTGTTCCTGCCAGAGACTTCACATACTCTCAAGGATGGGTCCCGGGTGTTAGGAAGGATGGAAATGGTGACAGCCTAATATGGTTAGCAGCAAGTACCATGACATTTGAGTCAGAACTGATGGATGCGGGGCTCAGTGGGTTAAGTGTCTGCCTTCGGCTCTAGACTCTCATGATCCTGGGGTCCTGGGATGGAGCCCCACATCTGTCAGGCTCCCTGCTCAGCGGAGAGTCTGCTTCTCCCTCTCCTCTGCCCCATTGCTGCCCCCGCCCATGCTCACTCTCTCTCTCAAATAATTAAAATAAAATAACTGATGAATGGGACTGGAGAATCTCCCAGGCTTTCTGTCCTTCACCTGTCTGGAGTCTGGAGTCTGCTGCAGCATCAGTGGGCGCTTCCCATGGACCAAACAGGAGCAGAGATAGGAGGGGGTGCTGCCTAGCTGGCAATCAGCCAGCCACTGCCACTCCCCAGCTTCCCAACCACTTGAAAGGCTAAGGGAAAAGAGCTCATCCAGAGCTGAAGGAGGCCTAGAGGCCTGACTTAGAGTTCATCAGTCTTTCTCCCTCCCTCTGACAGCCAGTGGAGCTAAGTGAAAGCTGAAATTGTAGCCACCCGCTCTGTGGGTTGCACACTCCCACTCTCAGTCACTGACCCCAGGCCTGGGTCTGAGCCCAGTGCGTGTGCCGGGAGCAGGGGTGGGGGGGTGTTGGCCATGCTGACAAAATCCATTTGGAATTTCTCAAGGTTGTGGTTTGGGGCTTAAGTTTGCCACAGAGTGTGCCTGACGAAAGAGAAAGAAAGAGAGGGAGCCAAAGAGAATACAGAGGAAGGAAACAGGAAAAAGCCGAAATATTCTTGCTGTAATACCATTGGAGATTCTCCTCCCTCTTTCTAAGTGTGAGAAATTCCCATTCTCGTTGTTCCTTATCATTATTTTCTCTCCTATGCCCATTCTACCTGCATCCCCTCTCTGCCCGACACCCCCATACACACCAGGCTCAGTCAGTGACTAAGGTAAGGATGAGATGTCTTCCTGCTTCCATCAAGTTTCCAAGCCCAGGATTCTCAGGTGGAAATTCAGGACATAAAATTTTGTCATAAAGTACTAGCCTAACCCAACATTCCTCAAAATGCCCTTGCTACCTGAGTAGCAAGATCACCTAAATTTGAGGGTAATTTGGGTAGCAGACATATCTATTGCCTAGAGAAATAGAGAAAACCATTTCTACATGCCCCAGCCAAAGAGATGACCTGTTAGAGGCAGCATCTTGCAACCCCACAAACATTTAGTCACTTGTAAAGTTCTGAATGTGTGATGCCTATCCCTTTTCTGAATTGAATGATAACGGTTTGTTTTCAAAGATACTGAGTTAGGAATGGACAGATTGTAACTGTAAAAAATCTGTTTTCTCTAGTTTTGGTTATGTCCTGAAAGAGAAAGGAATTATTTTATTAAGATTAAATGCAGAAGAGCTCTGAATAAGGAAGAACACAATACACATGCAAATAATTCAATAGGAAAGCATGCTGGTTTTGCTGGTTTCCAGAGCAAAACACTCCCTTTTCAAGCACTGGAATCTCTTTTATATGTTTCCCATTAGTCTTATATCTACCTCCCAAGTTCTCTGACTTGGAGCCATAAAGAAAAGCACCTGCACTTTTGGGTCCAGGCTTAATGTTGAGATACGTTCAGGACTTGAAATCTCCGGAACAGAGGTAACCATGGTGTAGGGCAAGGGTTAACCAAGTACAGCCAGAGAGCCTAATCTCATCTGCAGTCCCATTTTTGTGAATTAAGCCTTATTGGACACAGCCACACCCATTTGTTTATGTGTGGTCTGTGGCTACTTTTTGATTCACAACAACAGACTTGAGTAATTATAGCAGAGTTGAGTAGTTGCGACAAATCCCACAAGCCTAATACAGCTGACCCTTGAATGACATAGGTTTGAACTGTGTAGGTTCACTTAATACACAGATTTTTTTTTTTTAGTAAATACCTACCGTACCCTAATATAAATGTATTTTATCTTCCTTATGATTTTCTTAATAACATTTTCTTTTCTCTATTTTATTGCAAGAACACAGTATATAAAACACGTAGCATACAAAGTATGTGTTAATCTGTTAATCGACTGTTTCTATTATCGGTAAGGCTTCCAGTCAACGGTAGGCTATAAGTAATTAAGTTTTGGGGGAATCAAAAGTTATGCATAGATGTTTGATATACTTGCTATCAAGCCCTCTGCAGGAAAAAAAAAAAATGCCAACCCCTGTTCTAGGACAAGGGTCAAGGTGAAGTCTGGAGTTGAAGCACATAAAAAGTAAATTGGGTAGGGGCGCCTGGGTGGCTCAGTCGTTAAGTGTCTGCCTTCAGCTCAGGTAATGATCCCAGGGTCCTGGGATCGAGCCCCACATCAGGCTCTGCTCCGCGGGAAGCCTGCTTCTCCCTCTCCCACTCCCCCTGCTTGTGTTCCCTCTCTCGCTGTGTCTCTGTCAAATAAATAACATCTTAAAAAAAAAAGGTAAATTGGGCCTATGTTTGGATATCTAGCCCCCCTCTACCTAGAAGTACCCCCTGGTTTTTCACACTGAAAGTTGCCAACTAAATCAGTGAGGACCATTTCAAATCCTTTGTGGAACCCAGGCAGGATACACATACTCATTGGGTGTATGAGGGTAGAATTCACCTGGAAAAGAAGCGATGGACTGGGATCCCAAGTGTGGGCAGAAATATAACCACCTGCATCCACTGGTCCAGTAGTTTAATTTATTTTAGTTACAAACGGAAACCAAGAACAAGTCTCAGTACAATAAATTATTCATTCCCATCCCTCCTGCTAACAACAAATAAGAGGCTCAGAGAGTTTTAGATAAAACTCTTCCTTTGGAGGGTTCCCTTTAACATCTGAATTGGGGGGGGACTTAGTTTCCCTAAGGGCCTAGACAAACAACTCTCTGAAGACTCTAGGGAGAGCCCCCTTCCCTTCCCCAAGAAAAACCTCTCTACCACTGTCTCCTATTCCCCCACAAGAAGGGGCCCAGGCTGCTGTAGAGGAGTTAGGGAACAGCAGATAGGAACGAGTGGTCTCCCTGGATACAGGTCTTATGGCTCCACACAAGGCCTGGGGCTATCCCTCAAAGGAGAGGCGTGGTCAAACTACAGGGACACCCCAGCCAGAAGGTGTATGAACCAGAGCTAAAGGGACCCCAGGGCCGGGGACAGGGAGGCAATACAGTGCATGTCAACTTAGTTCATTTCAGGTGTTTCTGGAGCAGAAGAGGGGGTGACAGCTTTCCCTCCCAGGCCCCCCTATGGTGGGGGAGAAGGCTGCACATCGCGGACTCGGCCTGACCCCCCCACGCCCCCAAAGCTGCTGCCAGGAGCCAAGATTGCCCCTGGACAGAAATGAGAGCAAAGGGCCGAGGAGGCGCGCCCACTCCCCACCGGCCCCAGCCCCGCGGGCCAGGTGAAGCCGCCCCTCACTTACACACGTTGACCCACTCGGTGACCTTACACTCGTCACACAGCACATAGCAGCACCAGTGGAAGCGGCAGTG